TATTACATAATGGGATGCAAGTGCTGGCTACAGCTCTTCACAGGTTAAGTCTGTTGGGTCATTGTAGAGGAAAGAGCAACTCCGACCAACAGACTTGCTAAGGCTGTACAGGAAATGGGTAACAAGGAGACAGTAAGCAAGGTCGGTGGTGTAGTGCGGCACTGACAAAATCTATGGCACAAAGAAATAACTGATAGTGATAGGATTTCCATTTGACTGGAGTGTTCCATTGATTTAAAGGAGAACTATGCGGTCAGGGTTTCTCTCCATTGTTCTCCTTAGGGTAACGGGAGGACACAAACTAGCGTCCTCCCGTTACCCTAAGCTCAGTATACCGCGAGCTACACTTCAAGCATTGTCTGATGAACACGTAAAGGTTATTCATGTTTAATAGAAAGTCACACTGGTCATCCTTACCGGAGGCATCTCAAGTGCTTTCATGATGGAAGAAAATGCAAAGAAATCTCCTAATTCCTTCAGGTCCACCGCAATTTGGATGATCTTGTTTAGTGTCGCAACTCTTTCCTCTAAGCTGCCAGTACAACCTAAAATGTCCACTGCAATTCCTATGGCCATGGTGGTATGCCTGTAAAATGAACATAAGGTTGGGAAAATCCACCTATGTAAAGATCACTTTGTATGAGCTGTGTTGGTTTTCAGAAACAGACATTCATAAAGTGGAAGTATCAACATTTCATGTCTACATGGCCTGATCCTTGAGATACACCAACTGTATACTTAAAAAACAAATCTGTACCTTTATCAATAAAAACCCAACTTGGAAAGCCAATTTGAGTTGCTTGAGTGTGATGGCTTTTAACACTGGCAGGTAACAGGTGTAGCAGAGGGATCTGATCTGTGACTGGTGGCCTTTCACACTGGCTGGTTGCAGACTGACAGGTAACAGTAGAGGTTATAGCGGCCAAGAACATAAGGACTATTAAACGGGCATCAGGCTTCACAAGACTGTCCTCTATGGGCAAGCATCTCATTGTAGAAAGTAGAATCTGACCCTGGACAAGACCTGAACAATGAGGGTACTGGCCTTCTGGGGTGAAAGAAAGATGAAGAAATTGTCAGGAAGAACACTGTAACCTTGTGAATGCAAATTGTTCCTTTATGTCTTAGGCTCCAGCCTTGCATCTAGAACTGTGTGGGTTTGGCTCAATATGTTCCAAAAAGCAGCAATTCTGAATGTACAGTTGGCTGCTGTGGCATAATGAAATGATTTGCATAGTTCTGCCTATTATTCTAATATTGATATATGCTTTGTTGTGATGACATGGAAATACTATCTGATTTAAAAGGACATTTGCACTTTAAGTGCACTTATATTTTCACCTCCCCTGCCCAAGCAATCTATAAGAAGTCACACTTACCAGAATTGCAGCTCTGTGAAGCAAATGCACAGCCTAATGCTACTGACTTCAATGGTCTGTCAATGGGTAGAGGGGATGCAAACAGGTTTTCCATTGCAATCTATGACATTTTGACTTTGCATGTGGAGGGGAAGATATTAAATAGGCTGTGCAACACCAGGGAAGCTGCACACCAAAAATCTCCTTGCAGCAGCATTTCAGGAAAGTATATTACAAAAGGGAGGGAACCCAGAAAGAATAGGGGTGCTGAAAGCCACCTTCTGCAATAAGACTATACTGTTTGCTACAATAAAGTAAAAGTCTAGCCTACATTTAGTGGCTGCTGCTACTTGGGACAGGAAGGATTAGTGCAGTTGGGGGTATATCTCTTATTTCCTGTCCCATGGAGCGCCGCTTACAGGGCCTGATATGGCTTATAAGCAGAAATAGCAGCATAATGGCCAACGTAAAACACACTAGTACAACCCGTTTTCACTGAAGACAAATTGAGTTTTTAGTGGCCTCACCATGCCTGGCGAAAACCCTTTAAGCAAACAAAACCATCTTTACTATCCCAAAGCTACATACAATTCTCTGCAGTGTCAGCAGCTACAGGTGCTCCGAGTTATCAGCATATACAAATATCCAAGAGGATGTTTACCTTTCAATTAAGTCTAGGCGCAGTTGGTGTCCATACGGCAGAGTTATTAGTTCTAGCCCACAGCTCACTCCCATGATCCCCTCCACTTCTGGTGCGATGTCAAGTATCCTAGCAACCTGCAAAGTACAAAGGTTTGTACATTTTACGTTCAGGAAGTGCAGTATTATTGGAAAAGGTTTCAATGATTCCTCTTCTAATTGTAGAAAACAAGACTGGAGAGCAGGATCCAACAGTTCTAATACACGTAATAAATTGTCCTAATTCATTTAAAATGTTAGTGATTTTAGAAGCACAATTTGGGTGAAAAATATCAATCACAACATTTAACACCGAAGGGACAACTCTGAGAAAAATGTAATCAGTTCCCACAAATGCACCAACCTACCTTTACCATCAGATACCAATTTTTCCTCTGCTATTATTACGTCTTCCCCATGCCATATGCCAGTACTATTGGGTATATATGAGCAGATGACCTTCCACCCACTATACAGGGCACAGAGCCTGAGCATCCAATCGTCAGGCCCAAGCTCTGTCACAACGGTTGGGGGGAATTCTTAGCCTTATTGAAGAGACTGAATTTTGGCGCAGAGGCTATTATATATCTGTTCAAGTTTAGCTTTAAATTTGTCTAAAGTGTCTGGAAAAAAATGTTTTTTCTGAAAGCTGTCTCAGATTCACAACTCATAGTTGACCATTTACAGGTGAAACTTGAATAATTAGAATATCGTGCAAAGTTCATTTATTTCACTAATGCAACTTAAAAGGGGAAACTAATATATGAGATAGACTCATTACATGCAAAGCAAGATAATTCAAGCCGTGATTTGTCATAATTGTGATGATTATGGCTCACAGCTCATGAAAACCCCAAATCCACAACCTCAGAAAATGAGAATATTACATGCAATCAATAAAACAAGGATTGTACATAGAACAATATCGGACCTCTGAAAAGTACAAGCATGCATATGTACTCAGTACTTGGTTTGGGCCCCTTTTGCAGCACTTACTGCAATTACTCTTGCACGATATTCTAATTATTCGAGTTTCACCTGTATAGCGTAGCCCATTTATAGTGGAGAGTGGATACCACTATCTGCGGGACTCTAAAACATTACTCCATATTATGGCCTGCAGTTTACAGTATGGAGCCAGAGATGTCCCACTGAGGTCTCTGCTTATTCCTGCACAGAGGAATGGAGGAGATTCACATTTATAAAGCACAACCCCTTCAAGGTTTACTGGCAGCCAAAGACCATGTGATGCAAGCTGCTTAGGCTTGAGGTCAGAGTAGTTTGGTGAGGGAGCAGAGGTTTTTTTTCACTCGTGGCAATTAATTCAAATAATGATTATTAATGCTGACACGTATCCTACTGATTTGTATGACTTTCAGTAACAGATCCACTTGAACCCCCACAAAGCCACTATGATCCCTATGGGGCACCACCCTCTATTTGAAATAGGAGCTGGTTAGTTCAATTAATTGGTGGAGCAACAGAACCACTGTAATTTAAAGTGAGCCTGTCAGCTATGGTCCGGCCTAAGACCTGACGTCACAGCATGCTTGGTGTTACCACTGTTAACCAGAATACTTTATCACTTTGTGTGGCTCTTTATGTCTAGTTTCACTTTATAAGATAAATAATTTCAGGGATCAATCCTGCCATTTGCCTATTACATGCCCAAAGAGCTTTCAACTGTTGAAAGCGTTGTGCTTTCAACAGATGAGCCAATGGAATTTCGTGGGGCCTCGTCCTAAAGTCAGGCACCTAATAACAAAGTGACATTATTTTCAGAGCAGCACATACTGTAGGGTTTTCTGGTCTAGCAAAGGTGACAGGTAACGTGTGTTGTCAGCTCTTTGGCAGGACTTTTACTGCACGTTTAAAATTGTTGACAGCTTTGCTTTAAGACGAAGGATGCGAGAGGCTGAGTATGCTACTTGGAGCCATCACGTGTGTTTTCCAGTTTTTCTGCCTGGTCTCTAGAGACTGATTACACATTATTGGAAACAATAAGAAGCAATAATAGCAGAAAAAAATCAGATCTCATTCTGGTGCAACCCAGGAATTCAGAATCCATAAACATTACACTGGTTCGGGGATAGAAGAAACGAGGGATTTCTATAGATCTATAATCCCATGAAAACAGGAAAAGAACTAAAGGGAATATAAATGATGGCCAACAATAAAAACCTCACAGATACACTTTCCCCACTCTACCATTATGTGTGTTTGTTGCGTCTTTCCCCTCTGCAGAGAAATATGCATCACTTCCTGTTCCTCTGACCTTCTCTTAGTAAGACCAGACGTTGTAGGGTATCCAACCCTTTCCACTGTATTTAAACATTGGGTGAAGTTCGACTAGAAAGAGATCGGTTAGTGTGAGGGGAGGGACATTTATTGTACTGAATTTCATAATGGAAATCTTACAATGTGTGCAACCATCAATCATTGCATTCACATTAAGATGCAGGGGAGATGGCGGATACAACTACCACCATTTACTCTACTACAGTCTGTTTGTACAGCATATCTGGCTCTGGCCTGAACATGAGGAAACAATTGCATATTAATAAAAAAAATCCATCTGAGCTGATCATTTTTTTCACCATGGCTCATGCAGACCAGAATTGGTTAAACCATGTGATTATCTTGTGTCTTCTGGCACCTTTACAGTTGTTTTATAGACATTACAACCGCTAGAGGACACCATTCACATAAATCTGCTTATTAACCAGCTATCCTTGAGTGAAGACAACACCAGTGTAGGGAAACAGTATGGCTTTAGATATACTTAAAAGGCAGGAGATTGGGTGATTTCCTCTCTTACCTTTTGTCCTGGTGACAAATCTTCCAATGGGAAACTTGGTTAAGTGACAACTGTTAAAGAGGATTCACCTAACTTTGGTCAGCCCAATTGATGGGTGAACAGGATTCGCCTTATAAATATAGACTCTGACTCTAGTTTCACTATATTTGTTTACAGCGTATCCGTTCCAAACATCAAGAATGAAGAGGCGGCTGTATGAGATGACATACATACATAAAAAAAAAAATGTCTACTTATGGTCACATCCAGGATCACAGCTGTTAACTGTCCAGTTTTCAATGATGGATTTCACCCAGAAACCTTATAGAGAGCAGATATTGGCAGATTAAGTCAAAGGCCACCTGATCTTCCAGGATTACTGCTTAGTATATGAATGCCTCACTAAACGTTATGAGGGGATTGGTTGCCCAGGGATTTATCAAACCTGGAGCAGTTGCCCATGGGAACCAATCAGCATCTCTCTTCAGTTTGTTCCGTTAAGATTTGAAAATGAAAAAGAAAAGCTGATTGGTTGCCATGCACAGCTGCTCCAGTTTTGATAAATTCCTCTCAATGTATCCACTTGCCGTCACAGATTTGAGATGAATGATCATGAAATGTATGGTGCTTACTCGCAGAGTGATTGTTAAGCATTTCCCCTGGGTTTGGAAATGAGAAATTGTACATATTTACCTTGCAGTCCATATTGAGAATGTGTTGGGCAATAGTCCTTGGGTCATTGTTCGTGAAAAGTTCCTTGGCCCGTCTAAGCAGAGCCGTTTCCAGAGGTTTATTTTCTGGAGGGAGCAGAAGGGACTCAAACTCATTGGGTTTAAAAGAAGATTCAGTCTCATACAGTGGCCTGATAAACTCTACTTCATCCCCCTTGTCATTCAGTTCTATTGAACACTGAGACACGCTGTCCTCAAAGCCCAGGAAGCTTATCTCTGAATTATTGAAGGAGAATGTATCCTCTTCCCCAGTTTGTGGAGTTTCTACAAAGCTATTGTGTGAGGATTGTGTCCGTGACCATCCACAGTCATCAGGAGGGTTAGGATGAAGTTCACAGTAATTTGCCTCAGAGTTTTGCCAGACTGAAGGTGATGGTGGTTGTTTCATACAGAGCGCCTTGCTAGGCTTTGCAGGAGGTTTAGAGCACAGCTGACTGTCTGATCCCCTCAAAGCATCAGTAGGATGAGCTTCATTGCTGAACCTTCGGATTTCTGTTGGGCTTAGAGTGGGTTCACTTCCTGTCCTGAACACATTTGGCCTGGGTGTCAACTTCCCTTCATTTCCAGGTGACAAGTACGGTTGTCTGCAGCCTGCAAAAAAAACCAATATACTATTACTTGATTTTATATCTAACTTATATCAGGGATGTTGCCAGGTCTCCATGACAACCAGAAAAAGCCCATGTGGACTGGAACATCCTATTTTTCCACTTTTGCAGCCAATTTGGGATAACACCTATTTTACATTTGTTACATGTTCCCATTCCCACAGCATAAGCTACACAATATTTAAAAAATGCTTTAAACTGCTTTTAACTTGGGTTTAGGGTTTTAAGGGTTAACATTTCAACTTGCTTATCTTACTTTGAAATGTTAGGAGAGGCTTTGAGGGGTCTGAGGTGGCTTCTCCACTGTATGTTAATTAAGTGAATGAGAAAAAACTCAATTCTCAAATTTCAGTCCTAAGTCCTAAGTATTAGGACAGATCACTGTGAAGGTGCTGAGAAAAACCTGGAAATCGCCCATTTTTTCTGCTGCAACAAAACATCTAAAATGTAAGAAAGGGTAAGAACATTTTTTTAAATGATTTCTCTTTATGCTGTGTGAATGGGATCACATAACAAACATACAGAGGGGTTTTCTCAAATATGATGGCAAAAGAGGAAATACACTTTAAGCTTCACCATTCAGACCTCCTTAAAGATGAACAACCCACCACACTTTGCACCATGCTAGGAAATCAGACCTGGCTCCGTCTGCATCACAGGACATCCTTGCCACATGGCACATGAGTGCAGGGTAAGCCCAGTCCTGCTTTCAGACAGTGTACACAGTGTGGCTAGTTTTTTCATCTTTAAACTGATTGGTCTGAGTTGTGTAATTACAATGATTACCAATATTGCTAACCTCTAGGCACTATACTACCAATAAAAACCTATTTCACCTAGCTGCTGGGGAAAAGAGGACTGTATATATTGCTACTATGGGGAGGGGGGCAACTGTATATGTCAGAGGATGGAAGATCAGGGAAATGTATACAAAAAAACACTGTGGAGCGGTAAAGCTGCACACACCAAATCAAAGCTGGATTGCTCCGGGCATTTACTGTATTTGCTGGCGTATAAGACTACTTTTTATACTTAAAAATATCCCCCGTAAATTGGGGGTCGTCTTATACGCGGGGTGTACAATGTATACCTTTAGTTCGTTTGGGCCAAGGTGGCCCAAAACGAACATCCCTAATCTGTCAGCCCGCTGGATGTGCGTTAATACTGTATGTACAGTAGCTTCAGCTACATACAGTATACAACGCTGAGCCAATCAGTGCGAGAGATGTACACAACCTCTGCCAATCCAAGCAGGCTGTGTATTCATTAATACAATACATTGCTCGCCATGATTGGCTCAGCGCGGTATACTGTATGTAGCCGAAGCTACCGTACATACAGTATTACCGCACATCCATCCATGATGTTTTTAAATGGTGTTGCGTTGGAAGTGGGGTAGTCTTATATGACGAGTAAAGCCCAAAACCTATGTTTTAAGTGGAAAAGTAGGGGGTCGTCTTATACACCCAGATTACAGTCCATGTACCCATTGCACTCCTGACCGCACGTGCAACAAAGTATCCTGGGTGCTCAGTAGTCGACGGATGGCCACCGTCAAAGTAATGCAGAAAAGAAATAGACACCGGCACTATTGATTTAATTGACACCCTAAGGCTTCCCTAGCTCTGACGCGACCAGTTAGCCTATTGTTTTTTTCCCTCCCTTGTTCGTTTAGATCTCTGTGGTATACGAATGATTGTTATTTTTATTTACTTTTTGCTACCACTGTGTATCATGTCTCATCTTGCTTAAACCTGCGTTTATGTCCCTTATAATATTGCTTCTTATAAACTGCTTGTTGTTATACCAATCGGGACGTGTATGCTCCACCAATAGGATATGGTTGGGTCACATGGTCCCGGCTCTGTCAGTTGCGTCCCGATGCAGCCACAGTAACCAATGACGCGGCCGATTCCACGCCTCCTCTGACGTGTGCGGCCAATCACTGAGTTTCTTTCCCCCACTGTTCCTCGGGCCGTGGGTGTGGCTGAAGTCCACGTCATAGAGACGTGTGCAGCCTCCCCCGCCCTCTATCTGGTGGGCGTATCTAGGGGCAGCACCTGGGAACCTGACAGCAGCCAACCACTATAAATACGGTACATTTTTAAAAAATGGTTCCTAGATTTTGGGATAATTGGATTTAAACAGTAGTCACTACAATTTACCTTTTTAGGGCTTGTTCACACCAAATGCAGACCAGATCTGCATGAGTTTCTGCACGCGCAGTGCAGAGGGTTGTGCCGCGGTTTTGCTGCGTTCCGGGTCGTTTTTGGTTAAAAAAAAATATATATTTTTTTTTGTTTAAAATGGGCTTCCAGGGTGTTTGCATGCATTTTTTTTAACCTCCAGAGCAGGAACAATAGGGCTTGCTGCAGTTTTTTTTACATGCTCTGGAACTGAACGCTGCGGTGTGAACTAGAGCCCAAAATACCATTGGAATACATTGGACGCAGTTTTGATGCAGTCTATAACTGCTCTGCTCCTGGAGCGCGCTTGGTGTAAACAAGGCCTTAAGGTTTGTGGTAGAATAAGCTGAGCTCAGTCCCACCAGCTACATTATAGTGGCTCAGCAAGCAGTCTGTATGACTAAACCATCTAACTGGCAGATGTCTGTAGAGTTGGGTTCTAGTTTTTCCTTTTTTAGATGTAATAATCCAGGCAGTTAGTGACTACCTACCTCTGAACCAGTCCACAAATTAAATGGTTCTAGTAGCTTTTGTTCATGAGTGTGCCTTGACGCATGTGGGCATGAAGTTGTACTTGAATATACAGTATAGATCCTAAAGCTTTTTTACCCAATATTTAATCCATATATTCTAATCCATTCACAAAAGGGTCAAGAGTGGAGAAGGCAGGAGAAGTGAACAATCTAGGACAACATAGCTGAACTGAAAAGTGAGCTGGAGAATTTTTCCAGTTCAGCTATGTTGTCCTAGATTGTTCACTTCTCCTGCCTTCTCCACTCTTCACCCTTTTGTTACTATCCCTGTAAAAGTTGTAGTTTGGCACTCACATGGGCATGATAGATCCAATGTCTAATTCTGTCCTGATCTTTAAGGTTACACATCACCCGATATATCCGAACAAACCCACCCTCACCGATGAAGGTTCTATGCTAACACATAATGAAGCAGAATGATTGACAAGTAGCCAGAGAGATGGGAACATACCGAGCGGCAGGTAGCTTTCTGATTGATAAGAATGTAACGGCCGTTTCTTTTCTCGCATGTTATCCAGACAAGCTGGGTGGCTTCCACTCTTCTCTTTATTTCTAATGACATAAAATATTCATATATTATTATTACTGAATAATAAAAGCACACTTATAATGCAGAAACTGAAAACATCATAGTGTACTGAAATAAAATATAGAATACATTTGGGTAATATTACACCAAATGACATGCTTAATGCTTAGGGTGGACAATGTGTAAAAAAAAGTGAAACTTTGAGATAATAAAACAGGATAAATCCAATGGATAGAGAACTGAAATGCACATTTACTGCTGTCAGGTGTTGATCTGGCCACTTTGTAAAAGGTTTTATGAATGTTGTATGTTTAGGTTGCAGCAGTAAATAGAATATGTGTGTTATAAGAACCTGAGGCTGCACTGTGAGTTTTTACTTTACAATACTCTGGTCACTTCTTTTGTGAGGTCCTTCAGTTAGGAAGAACAGGTGAAACCTGGGCTAAGTGACAAGAATTCCTCTATTTGGACCTCCAGCCAATCAGTTGTTTTGATCTGTTTTCCTTTCTGAGAGCCCAAGACCTTCTGACTAAGGCTGGTCTCGGGCGTGTTCGGAGCTCCACATGCCGAGCCCGCCAGGAAGCTGACATCGCACAGCGCCAATCACAGGTACTGAGACATTTTCCCGGTCCGCAGCTGCAGAGATTGTGAAATGTCTCTGTGCTTGTGATTGGCGCTGCGCGCTGTCAGCTTCCTGGTGGGCTCGGCACATGGATCGCGAACACGCCCGAGCCCATCGTTACTTCTGATCTGTCCAGCCTCTCCCAGCCCAGTACAGCTCCTTACTAAAGCTGATCCAAAAAAAATCCCGAGCCATTTCTTGTCATAAGTCAATCTCTGAGCTGGTGGCTGCTCATTACCAAAGCAGACTTCATACTTTCTTATAGAAAAAATGAAAACCTCTATTTGTTGCATCATTAGTATCTAGTAGGTAAGAATAAGGCATGGCAGCAGTGGACCAGAACCTGAGCTTTTCTTCTAAGGATCAAAGGACATCCCTCATCTACTAACCGAAGCAGACTGGCCCGCATCAGGTTTTGTTCCTGCAGCAGGATCTGTCCATGGCCAATGTTTAAACTCAGCCGCTTTGGAGTTTCGGCTCTTCCATCCAGGGCTCCCAGTTCCAAGCGTCTAACAGGAGATGTTCCATATTTCTCCTGTATACATCTAAGTGGAACAGTTCGGTTAATAGGCTGGAAAATGATGGCTCCACTTTGCTGGGACACAGGCTTGCGGTTCCCCACATAGTACCTAACCAACGCAGGGACGTTATCAAAGCTTTCATGTTCAAACTGGTACTGAATCCGACTGTAAGCTTCATTGAGCCTGATGACAACTTTATTTATCTTGAAATGCTGTGAAATATTTTTCCACTGGCAGGTAAGCACAAAGTTTCCAGGACTGGACAAAGAATCCCTGATCAGAAAATCTCCATCTCTCCTCACCAAGCTTTCAGATACCTGCAGAAGAGAAAAGACAAAACACATTAACCATTAATAAAATGACTCATCCAATATGTTCTACATACTCGGGGCCGTCAGGAGAGCAGTTATTGGGTAAATTCTAAAATCAAAGGTGGAAGTATAACCTCAGTCTAAGTCCTTGTGCACATCGAAAAATGAAACACTTTATCTATGAATTCTCTATATAGGAAAACTTAGCCAGACGTGCACCATCCTGTTGTCACAAATGATTTTGATGTAACTGGGCAATATTTTTACAGTATTTGGAGTGAGAATGACAGGAAAAGAGGACCCTGGGTGATGTACCTTGATCAAGTGAGTTGGAAACGTTATAAAAAGTCACTGCTAATGGCATTGGCTGATTCTGTAGAAATCGTTTTTGCTTATTATTTGCTTTTCTCAGTTCAGTGTGTTCTGGCACTGGGATCTCGGCGCCTGCATGCTTTTGGCATAGACAGACTATAGATGCCAGCTGAGGTGAGTATGCAAAAAAAGGGCTCATTACTGTTTACATTTAGATTAACAGTTGGATTAGGTTAGTCTTACACTTGCTTTTTAGGAGTCTGGTGGGGAGGATATGTAATAAAGGGCAGGTAAAGTGTTGGGGCTCACTTTAACATGTATGTAAACCCTAACAATGAACCTCTCCTGTTTGCTACCTTTTGGTATGTAAATATAACATTGAAAGTGTTTTCTTTTATCTGTTTGATACGTGGAAAATAATATCTGCTGATCTGGTCAGAAATCCAGTGAGCTGATCACTTCCCGTGCTGCACTGAAAACAATGTTATCACACACCCACTGTGTGTAAAGAAGGAGAAAAGGGGCGAGATTCTATAGTCCTAACATACTTTCTGTGCTAGGGTGAGGGTGCAGAGAGTGAGGGTTGTCACAATAGGACAGGAAATGTGTTACCCTGAGGATCACCAGGTAATAATAAAGAAAACAAATGCAGCCAGCACCTCTAGGGACTGGTGAACTGCAATAGATTACCTTTTGGTTCTTGGGTTTGGATACACTATAAGGATTAGGCTCATTGTTTGGGTTGGGAGTTATGTGCTAAGGGACATGTTAAGTGTTTAGTGTTGGAGGGGGATTACGTGGTAAGGGATGGTATTAGGGGTCAGAGGAGCTAAGAGCTCTGGTAGATGATGGCCAAGTGTTAGGGGAGCCTTTATTAGATAAACTTAGGGCAGATCTGGTATCCTCATAAGTTGTCATCATTGGGAGTCTCACCCCAAACCTTACAGAGCCAAGAACAAATGGATTATGCTCTGCTTGTTTTAGCCCTATGTACTGCATGAACATACAGATATCAGAGGCAGTCCATCTTTTATCTGCATGGATACTAAGTAGTACCATCTGTCATTTCCCTTCACTTCCTCTGTTGGCACCAATGGGGACACAGGTAGCAACAGGCGTTTGGCAGAGGTTTTAACCCTTCCCTATTCTGTACAAAATAAAACATTTTGATGGAGTTCATCTCTAACCTAGGTCCGATTACTTGGGTTTGCCAAATTCTACTGACTCCTCAGAACAGATTTTATTAGCGGATGTCACCACATGAAAAGTGGAAAGCCTTGACTGTTATTAATATAAAGTAGGCACAGCTGGTCGGTATGTTTTAATATGCTTTTAGGTGAACTCAGTGACACATTTAAATCACTAGAGATCTTTGCTTCAGCGGCCAATGCCTGTTTCATGGCCTGTCACATTTTAATGTTGGTGGGTGTGTCATGGGAATGGTTTTTGACCCTTATTTATGACCTTGCATCCATTACAGTAAATTGCTAAACACAGAGGTCAGAGGCACTTGCAGCTGGGTCAGACAGATTACAGCGGCCAGAGCTGGAGGAGGATAAAGTGTTTGCCTGTTTCACATCAAATGGATACATTGTATTTACACAATACAGAGACATCAGAGAAGATCAATATACCGTCTCCTTTTATGTTTCCGTACACACTGCCTGATTCTTAATTCTATTCATTCCAAGCTTTTAATAGATCCCAGAGCTATTTCAAACTTCTAGGTTACATGGGTAGTAGAAAATAGCCTATACCCAAGTCACACTCACTGGAGACTCTAAAGCTGGCCGTACGTACACTGCTCGCAATTTTGTCCTGCTGATTCGGATGAAGTTTAACAGTATGGACACCTCTGGACCCTCCAGAATAACAAAGTTGATTTTTCAATGAAGCGGAGAAAAGTCCAAATATGAGTCGGGTTAAATGACCCTTTTACTTTGTCCTGTATGGGAAAAGATTGCCTTCAGAGCTATTCATGGGAATTAATGGGAACCTGTCAAGCCAACATGTGAGAACTGCCATTAATCACTTGTAAAATGTGCATGCTCCAGGGCTGTCATCCTCATCCTTTTTTTTACATCTTAGAAGGTCAATAACATGAATTAAACAAGTGTGTTAGGTGTTCTGACACATCACTGGCTGCTTGCTTGTTCTGTGCCAGTGATGCAATAAGTAGTGAAGCAAGGACAAGGAGCACGTACCTTCAAATACAAGTCAGCATCAACAGTTATGGTAATTCTATCTTGGCTTGTTACCTTTAACTATAACAAATGAAATGCTGATAAAACAAAAGGCTTATGAGCTGAAGACCATTGTGCATATGGACTGCCCTGGTCAAGTTTGCTTGCATGATCACATGACTATTTCCCCTTAGACTGGGTTCACACCTAGGCGTATTGAATATGCACGTTTGTTGTGCATTTTGCGTCGCGCGTTTTTAAAAAAAACGTGCGACAAACGCCCGTTTCCGAGGGCTACTTGGCTGTATCCCAATGGAAACGCGAGACCAAAACGCCCCAAAGAAGTACATGTACTTCTTTGGGCGTAGGCCGTTTTGTATCTCGTTCGGACGGGCGGAAATACGGCAAGGTGTGAACCAGACCCATTGAATACAATGGGATTTAGATGTTTGGGCGTTTTGTAGAGCGTTCGTCGAGCGTTGAACGCGCTACAAAACGTTCAGGTGTGAACCAGGCCTAACAATTGTGACGATTCCTAGGATAACTATTTGGCCTTATATGTAGGTACTGAACCTGTACTGGTCAGCCAGCACTGTTACTCCCTGCATAACCATCACACAGCATGTTTTGTGACAACTCCTCCACTGCACTGTACTGACTGACAGCACAGCTCATGCAGGATCAGAGCAGAGACAGCTCCCATTGCACTGTCCTGTCTCACACATGCTCTATTACAGAGTGCTGCAGATGTAACACAACTGCACATAAGAGCAGAAATTCTAATTCTTCCACACATACAGGGCGGCTACAGAACTAGAAGAGCTGTTAAAAGATTGCCAGCTCTCCTAAAACCATGTTATATACCAGCAGTGCTTCAGAGTTCTTCTTTAATACAATAAGATCAGACATTTACAAAAATGCCTTTTACAGCAATAAAACTTTCAATTCCTGACAATCATGTTGAATCAAAATGAAACTATAATGATCACAGCACCGTTTATCAGGCGTTATCATGTTCCGGCATGACATAAAACGATGCATGCCGGCCTATTTACTGCCAGATATCTCTAGGATATCATAATAAAATTCACATTCCTGCTGAGTGGAAGTGAGGAATTTTTACGGGTTTTATATGAGCTGTGTTTGGACATCTTGCGATCTAAGGAACTCATGAATGGTGACGCCTTCTGTACAGGGTCCTTTGTCACAAGACATTAAACAAGAATGTGCTACTGGAGCCAGAATGTTATTATTCAGCTGTAAATTCCAGCAAATGAGAAAGCAGAGTTGGCTGCCGCAGGTGGTGACGTCAGGTAATTTATTCCGATAACTGGCTAGCTGCCCCCTTATAACTGAAGATTTAAAAATATTGCTTTGCCCCCTCCTTATTGACCCAGATAATCTTTTCAACCCGCAGGTTGAATGAAGAAAATATTAGTGTATACCGAACTTAAAAGCTGACCAGCGCATATATTAGCTTCTAATTTATTATTACAGGTATTTATATAGCGCTGACAATTTACGCAGCACTTTACATAGTTGCACATTTACATCAGTCCTTACCCTCAAGGAGCTTACAATCTAAGGTGCAGCAATGGTCTTCTATCCGCCTCTCCCACGCTGGAGTTTCGTAATATGTTTCTAGTGGGTGTGACTGCTCAGTTCTGACTGGTGCCGCTATACAGCAATCAGAGGCCAGCATTGAACACTCACACCCCCAAGGGAGAGGAATGCATTTACTAAATCCTGGCTTTGATCACAAGAGAGCCCCGAATACTACTTTGAAAGATGCTGTCAACAATGGGTAACTTTCAGAAAGATTACCTTTGAATGTTTTCAATGTTGCAGAGTGCAAGCAGTGGAAAACCCTCCCCGAACTGCTATGTTTCCAGGGCTACTTGTGACTTCACTGAAATCCTGCACCCCTTTCAGTCCAATTTCTTTATTCATCATCAGATGACCACAGGAAGCCATACAAAAGGAAAAAAAAAATTGCTACCTTGATTTGTTAATACTGGGGTGCTGCCCCTTTAAACCCACTGCCCTAGGCAATGGCCAACAACCGGTTAGTGAATGGTATGGTTATTAAAGCCTGAATATGAAACTGACAACAGTTTTCACGGCTCCTGCTCCTTCATTGACTAGAAGGTGTGTTGAACAAATAAGTCAGATAAACTGGCCTGGTGACCTCATTGACAAGTAGCTTATTATATACCTTTCCACTTGCAGGATATGTTCATTGTACAAGAGAAGAGAGGTTGGAAGCTAGTGGCTGCTTAGCCTGAGCTTAACCCTTTCATCAGTTGGACTTTAGGCTGCAAAACTAACTGACCACTGAAACTATTAGGAAAGATCACCCTTACACAGGTCGGTTTTCAAATGAACACAATATAAAGGCTCCCTTGAGAACAATAATGACCTTTTTATTCATACAAAATGGTAAGTCTTTGTCAGAGTTTTTATGTAGGGGCGACAAGGGGCGAAGGGGGTTACAAGGGGCGAAGGGGGTTCTTCACAGTAAGATCAGTTAGGGTCTGGAACTCACTGCCACAGGCGGTGATTTCAGCAAATAATGTGGAATTGTTCAAGAAACTTTTGGACGATTTCTTAAGGGACCGTAATATACAGGGGTACGGGTACTCCTAGAATGAGATCCTAATAGGTTGGACTTGATGGACTAATGTCTTTATTCAACCTCAAATACTATGTAACTATGTATGTAAGGGAGATCTGCCCATGTTTCGTAAGCCAAGAAGTAAACCATTAATTTTAGATCTTATTTTGGTTGAGGAACGGGCACACGGGAAACGTATCTACTCAGCCAATAGCATTGGTGAAGTTCCATTGACTGTGCAATCTTCATCTTTCTTTTCAAATGTATGGGTGATCAACTCATTGATGTAGCTATAATTTTATATCTGTATCTCAAATAATTTATTATCTAACTAAACATCTATGCATTCTTCAGACATATTCAAGTTGTCCACATAGCCCTCTGCTGCAGATTGTAGAGGGTTTATTCCGGAGCTCTGAGGCTGCCACTACTTTAAGAGCTAATCTGCTTTCTTTGTCTTTAAAATCTGATGTTTTTCCAAAGTGTGTTGTTCTGAAAATGGCCAGGCAGGGAGAAGCATTGGCACATCAGAACTGCATGGCATGAAGTTAAAATCTCAGCATGCCCTTCCAGCCATGGGTCAGAAATATTAGTGTGGACCTATAAGTCCTATAATGCCATGTATAGGTAGGTAACCCATGCCTCTGCAGTTGATATGCTAAGTTGTACTATATCCTGTCATGAAGGTTGAGCAAACTCTAGTTCTGCAGCTCCTGTTACTTATCATTTCACAAAAGCTGGAAAGTCACAAGTCACCCAAGCTAGCTTAAGGTGAAAACCACCTAGATCTTTATGGCTGCTATCATGCTTCTGATTACCTTTCGAAAGCAGAAGGAGCACATTGTATGAGGTGCCCTTACCTGCCGAGGAATTCTTCCATGGTACCAAGCATGACTACGTAAATCTTCACTGCTCAGCTTCAGCTCTTCCTCCAATTCCTTCTTGAGCTTGTCAGGGGTCCCTCCATCCATAATATAGCGCTCCTTAGAGAACTGAAAGACACAACAGGTGAGTCTCTCCCGCTGCACTGAGATCACCTGGCTACACTCAGCAAAAAGGAACTTTCATTTTGTCACTTGTCACATGCTCTGTCACCAGTCCTGAGGTGTGGGTGTAGCGTTTCCTAAGCCTGCCTGCTTGTGTGATCAAAGGCCGTCATGTAGGATCGGATATGGGGAGGCTGCACCTGCACTTGTGGATGGCTTACATTCAAAAATTCACATCTGCCCTTTGTACTGAGTTTATGAAGAGCTGCCCACAGCCTCTTATCATTTAACGCTTGAGTGAGTCATCAACGTCATCTTCAGACACATTATGGTATAATGTTAGTTTATTTAAATCCATCGGCACACAATACTTATTGAATTGCACTAGAATATCGGTCTTGGAAATTAAGTTGCTTATACTAAGGTGTCACATGTCACTGACTTTTTATGTACAGCAATAAATCTGTATTGCAGCCTTTTATTAGCTGGTCTTTGATACACAAACTGACATTGGTGGCCATGAAATGTGTGTTCACAGCTACAACATATTCTGATTTTTTCTGAAAGGTTTGTACAGTATATGGAATTATAGAATGAATAAGGCCACAATGGAAACCAGCCCCTATTGTCCGAAACAGAAACAGCAAAACATTTCTACCTGAAAAAAATGAATTTATGTTGAAGTATCTATATATGGACGTATACCTTTCCTATGGTTTGTGAACAATTGTACAACTCTTTTATATGATGTACCTTCCATTTTTAATTAAAGCCTTTTTAATCCCAAAGTGAACAAAAACTTCATTTGAAACTTTCCATAGTAAAGACACCACAAGAAGCCAGCTACCAACTTTATTAGCGGGAAAAGCCTGTCCTGTGCCCCTCCCTGATTTAGTTTCACTTTGTAAGTGGTACCTGACTTCCACCAATTGCCATACCCCTTTCCAATAAGAATGCCCATAGTGGTCACTGCGGTGGTCTGAGCTTAGCTATAACGTCAGGCCGCCTCACAAAGGGAAACTAAATCCAAGGGGAGCAGAGAAGAAACGTTTAGCTAATAAAAGGCAATAGTGGGAAACCTGTGGTATTTGCATTTTAGATGCAGCTTGTGCTTTTAAAAGATTCACAAGTTTAAAGTAGAACTAAATCCAAAATGTTTTTCCCCATTTTTGATAGCGTAAGGGAGGGTTGTAGCTAGGGCGACACAGACAGCGTTTTTTCGGTATCGAGTACAAGTACCGATATTTATACTTGGCTACACGCCGATACCGAGTGCCGATACTTCCACTAGCACAGAGCCGGCTTTCTGGGCAATCAGTAAGCTGTAAAGCGTGTCATTACCCGCCACCCGGCTTCTTGATTGCCTGGAAAGCCGGCTCGATGCTGTTTGGCCGGCTCGATGCTGACTGACCGGCTTCCCAGGCAAACAGCATAGAGCCGGCTCCCCAGCCAATCAGGAAGCCGGGCAGCGAGTCATTGCTGACACCCGGCTTCCTGATTGGCCGGGAAGCTGGCTCAGTGTTCGCTCGCCACCATATTGAAGATTACTTCTTCAATATGGTGACCCATCATTAGCACTTTATGGGATCTGCAGTTTTGGACCAGGTGTTCAGAATTTGATCCTTCAACATGGTATAAATAAAATAAACAGGGGGAAGTGTTTGCTGATGGCCGTCACCTTCTATGTAAGTCATCGGGGTGTGTAAAATAGCAGGTTCACAAGTTCACTTAATATAGGCATCGTCTCCGTAAACCACTGGCTATTTTCTCTCGTGATACGATGATATTGTGTTGCAGCAAGCAGGGTCTCGGCTCAAGATCTGCTAAACAGCTGCAAGCCAAACCAGCTCTGAACGTGCTCAGCACATTTTACAGATAAGTTACTGGAGATGACCACAGGCTTCGCTGGTGGTGTCACCGACTGGAGAAACATCACAGGAAAACCTCAGAATTTTCAGCACACTGTTACCTCAGCTGACATTTTGGTGTCACCTGAAAGCTAAATGGGTGAATGGACCGTAACCAGATGAAGGTCTCTACAGGGGGCCTCCTTCCACAGACAATACAAACTGCAACATTTGTTGACCCGAGTATACATGTACTGTATATATTTTCTTCGTCCAATCTGCGAGCTGAACAAAGAAAATATAACAGATTCCTCCATCAACACTTACGAGCGTTGATCAAGGAATTCCTCGCTGTTTCTACTGTCAGCTCTGTTGAGCTGAGAATCTTCCAACCGGCTCCTTCGATCAGATGATTGAGGGATGCCGGCCGGAAGGGTCCCAGTTCATCAGCTGAAATTTGATACGTGTATACCAGGCTTTATCCTATAGCAAGGCTACAAATATGGTCACGAGAACCATAGAAAATCATTCGTTGTTATTCTATAGCAAAGCTACAAATATAACCATAATAGATTATGACCCCCACACAGCTACCTCCTCATGTATCAATTGCCCCTCCCTTTTAGATTGTAGGCCCTCCTTACCTTCTTGTCCTAAATTGTATAGTGAATGTAATGTTTTCCTTATATTGTAAAGCACTGCACAAAGTGTTGGCAATATATAAATCCTGTATAAAAATAATAATAATGACACTGCAATGGGTCCTGCAGTACAGGACACTAGGTATAGTCTGTATGCTTCTGTCTAAGCAGCAAAAGCAAATTTAAAGCTAAACTTTGGACACAAAAACTTTCAATTAAATACCTTATTATTCCTCAAAAGCCACAATGGTTATAAATCCACCTTTTTGTGCTCCAAATGCAGTTACAAACCCAGTGATTACCTTGTAGTAGCAGTGACATTATCATTGTGCTGCACGTTCCTGTGCAGAAAGCAGCTCCACGCACTACAGAAAACTACAGGAGTGGCAGATACAAGACCAGCAACCCTGCACAAGGAGGGAGAGCAGCATTGACTGGTCTATATTACAGAATGCTCCTGTACAGAGGTAGCGTCTCACATTGGATTACTGCACACATCAGGAGGAAGTACACCAAGATTTAAAAATATACCTTGCCTTATGTATGCAGACATAATTTATGAGGCTCTAGTTATGTCTCTTTACACAATAATGCACTTTTTTTATGTCACCTTGAATGGGCCCCTAACACGCCTCCGAACCCAAAAGCGTTGCTGCAGTATTATTGTGTGCAGTGCACCACAACATACACAACTGCAGGGCAGGTGTGGTTCTTTATACTGTTTTTATACTGTTTTAGTATTGTAGAGTGCCGTGCAGAATGAATTATTGTAGTCTGTTGTATCATGGTTCATTCAAACCGCAATGTGTGCATTGAATGTGATTCAATGCAAGTGTGTTGACTTGCATTGGCATATTGCGTTGACATGAGTTGTGTTGACATGAGTGGTATAAGTGTTGCACCACTTATACGTTTTACACCAGTATAAGATTTGTAGCATTCTTGCATTAATTGGAGTGGAAGCACAGATTTGTATTATTGTATCCACATTCGCACACCTATTGGGGTTAGGACACAGACGGCAAGATTTATATACAATTTGATTCCACATGTGTTTAGTTTTACAATTTAGGGTTTGTTGCACGGAAACATTATCCATTATTTGTTGCACGGAGACATTCACTCATGTTCACCTGTTGGTGATTTTCATTAGTATAACTGTTCATCCATTTCGTGTGTGTAAAAATATACAAGTATGGCCAATGGAATGCAGGGGAAGGGGGATTTAAAATCATTTTTAGGCCAAATTACTAGACTCAGGAAGTTTTGATCTGATATTGTATGTGAAGTTGTTAATGCAAGGTGACAGATCCACGTTAATCCTCCTGTTCACTAATAATCCCATACCAGTTACCAGTGTGGGATGTGAACGCACACAATGAGCCGTCTTTAAAAGAAAAGCTCAAGAATATGGAAAATGTAATGAGAGGATTTTGCAGCTTATGTTACAGTTTTACATAAGCCAGCTCTGAAACCATGAGAGTTCCCCAACTAAGCAAAAACCGCAAGCAGTGCAAACATTAGTATAAGAGCCCATTGTTAAAAAAGTGTATGTGTGTGTGTATATATCACGCACAGTAAATATATATATAGTTGAGGTGTGGGGGAAAGGGTGCTGTAAGCTTATTCATATTTTCCAAGGTTTATGAACCCCTGGGGAGAAGCACTGGGAGAAACGAGGACAACGGGGGAAGCCATTCAGACCCAGAGTACACGTGAGATGGTACGGAGTATGCTAATAGCAGAGAAAGTAAACTAAGCAGAAGGATGCCCTCAGTGTGGTTCTGCTCCTTTATTGTCCAATTAGCATGCTAGGGGCCTGTTCTTGACTAGGTTGTGCTGCTGCTGAAGTGGAGGCCAAGGAAATGGCTATGCAATCTGGCATGGGTACCTAGATCACAAGACTTACTAACTGCACACTTCCGTGTTTGCCTAATTTGGCAGCATATAGTTGTGGATTTGTAAAACCATACACACACGTCTTAGCATTAAGGAAATGCCATTCTGCTTTCTTGAGGTAGAAGAAGTTCCTTGAGAAGTCTTTCATCCTTTTGTTTCAGTGACAACATCTACATCTACAAACCAAATCTGCAGACTTATCCTGGATCAGTACAGCTAAATCCTAGATACCTGGCCATTGAATGACGTTGGTAAGCTCACCTATCCTAGAAACCCTGTTTGCTTTGCTCATATAGTCAAAGTCAGCGGAATGAAACACACAGGTTCCGCGGCGTGCTTTTTTCCTTTATTCATTAGTAAACAGAGCCTATGCTAGTATTCGTATTCCTTTGTAAGATAACACAATACAAATGTGGCTACAGCTAAATTACACCAAACACATAAAAATAAGACTGAACTCCTAATATCAAATAATATAAAAACATGTACTCCAAACAAGTGACCTACAAAATTCGGCATTCACTTTTTTCTTCCTTTCTTCCGTTTTATCCCCCACATTTGTTACTGGTGCTGCTCTTTCTAGTTGGGCTTGAAGCAGCCAAATGTATAATACTAAAAC